TTTGTGATCATATTCACTTCTCATAAATCCTGGAGAAGGATTTATTCTCCAAACACATGGAAGGAAAACAAATCACACATGAAGGTAAGGGAAGGATCACTGTCAGACCCCCCGCCCCCAAAATTCCAAGTGTAAAGTTACAATTTTGACCTTAAAGCAGGGAAATGAAATTTACTACTCCTCTTAAAAACGTCAAGATTCACACTGAGAGAAAAATGAAATTCTCAGAAAAACAGACAACTCTGTGATCAATGTCAGATTTGATATTTTCAGCTCAGTCTTTTTAGAAAAAAAAATCTTGATTTTGGACTACAGAATTCCAGTAACAATTTAATTTAACGTCCTCTACCGTTAGACATATTGACATCATATTGACAATCCTGCAGGTTTGTGTGCCACAATAAGCAAATAATGTTGGAGGAAACACACAATGAAGCCATTCATCACAGCGTTAATGTGAAACTGAGTAAAAATAGTTTTCCTTTACACTCTGTCTTTGTCTCAAACAGCTCTGATAAACCTGACTGTGTTTCACTGTATAAACAATCTGAGAACACATACAATATATGTATATATATAAAAATGTCCATCCAATAATTGTCTAACTGCTCTACTGTCAGCAAAAAACTAAAATTATTAATAATAACAACAAAAGTCTCTTTAAAAAGACCAACAAAGAGCTTGAAAGTAGCAAAAAAGGCTAAAAATCTAAACCAGAAGTCACAGCATGTAGACAATACATATAAAATAGCTAAAATGTTCTACAAAGAACTGCTCTAATGTCAGCAAAAGACAAATTATTAATAACAAAAAAGTTTCTTAAAAGAAAAGACCAACAAAACGCTTGGAAGTAGCAAAAGGCTAAAAATCCAAAAAGTCACAGCATCTAGACAATATATATATAAAATAGCTAAAATGTTCTACAAAAATAACTTAGTTTTATAAAAATTGTGAAACTAAACTCAACTGAACCACAAAACAACTTAAACTCTATTCTAAAAAATAACCACAAGCTATTCCTGAATTAGCATAAAGTTAGCTAATTCTAACGTCGTAGCATGTTTGTCATTACATAGCTAAGAAATAAAGATGGATGAACTTCACTGGAGGTTATCCATTTTTAACAGCAGGTGACGCTCGTGCGTCATTGATAACTGGACCTTCCGGTACCAGGCGTGTGTGTTTGTTGGATAATGCATCTCGTCCAATCAAATGTCTTATAGAGAATACACGAAACTAGTAAATAGCCATTAGCCATTAGCCATTAGCCAATAGCCATTAGCCATTAGCCATGTAGCCATGTCTGAACTACAGCACTTTGAGTTCACAGAGGCTAACTCTGAAACTTCCTGTCTACGTCCAAAACTTCCTGTCAACTTCCCGAGCTTCACTTTTGGAATGGTACTGTTCCAACCACATGACTGCGTCCACTTCGCGTGTACAGTCTATTACACCTGTCGCCAGCTTCAACGACTTCACTCACTCACGGCACCGACAGCAGCGCTAAACACGCCACACGTGTGTTCACGTATGGTCCAAACACACAAACAAACACACGCACGCGCATGCATGTATAGATACACAGATTTAAAAAAGCACCTACTGTCAGCAGAGAGGAGAAGCCCAGCCCAGAATCTTCCATGTCTGCTCCGTACCGTTGACCAGAACCAGAACACACCCTGTCCCTCAGACTCCGTCCAACTCCCTCTTTCCCACATCGGTTAATTTTCCATATACACTCACACACACACGCTTTCGCACATGCACATACACAGAGGATAAGGGGGCGTGGCTGCATATTTAAAGTCCCTCCTACTGTCGGCGCTGTGATTGGCTGGGAGGCTGTAAATATGGAGAGCAGTTGCTTCATGGGATAACAATTCCAGCTGGACCCAGAGAGATGGAGCGAGGAAAAGTGACAGACAAAAAAGAAAGTCTGACAGCTACAAAGGATTAAAGCACCCAAAAT